ACATACGTACACTCATTCATACGTAATATGTATAAATAAAATTTTTAGCAAAAAAAAGGAGAATTATATGTTATGTGTATAATTAAGATAACTGTATATATTTATGTTTTCGCTTAAAAAATTAAAATACAAGACGGAGAACTAAATATGTTTTAAAAGAAAAAAACACAACCAAGAAAATAAGAAAATTATTCATGACACGTGCTTAACTAAAAACTGCAGTTGACGAACACGATTCATTTCTTTTTCATATTAATCCCTCATCTTTATGTTAGGAACTTTACTACACAATATGTTCATATTTTTTGTGGATTTCTTTCGTGCCTTGTTTTTGTATTATTAACTAACGGACGCATTGGTTAATGTGCATATACCTACATTTATATGTACATACATATGTGGCTTAAATTTTATATTGCATGTTTGAGTACGTATGTATGCATATGCTGCAAGGGCATTTAATTCTTATTCGCGTTAATTAACGGAAAATAAAATTTCATTGTGGATTACATTCACATGAAATTCATATGTTTTAAACTAAGAACACTAAACTAGTTGGAGTTTTTGATAAAAGTTTAAATTAAAAAAAGTTTAAATCGAGTATTGCTAAAAAATAAATACATACTTATACTTTATAATGCGAAAAAATTTTTATAATCTACATAGCTAATTTTTAAATTCACATGGGCATGCATCGCCCGATTCTTATAAACCATACGTGACAGGAAAGAAAACTTAATATAAAACTAAAATAAGCGTTGCGTTTGAGTTAAGCTTAATACTACAACCTAATAACGTATATTAATACTTAAGTACTTATATTAAATGTTTTAATTCTAATATAGAATAAACGTAGCCAGAAATATTTCACAAGAATCTACAAAAATGCAGTAAGTTCACCTTCTAACAATCTCCCTGATAAATTTCCTAGGAAGAAATCATAGAGCAAAATAAGCTTATTCACCTTAATAAGAACTGACAAAAAAATTTTTTAATATCGCATCGTCAAATTCCGTCCATTACAATATAAAATTTGTATGAACTCAATTATTCATAAACAACACAAATAATACAACATATGTACGTATTGTAACTTACCAAAGTTAAAATCATGATTTTAAAGATGACGTTTTTAATGAGAACAACAGCTACATATGTATGTATGTTAAATTAAACAGAGAAAAGTAGAAACATCAACAATAATGACAGTAAATTTATATGTACATATATAAAATCGCGACAAGCGAATACTTACACAAAGTACAATATAAATTACAAAAAAAAACAAAGTAAACAAAAATTTTTCAAGGCAAAAGTGAACGAAAATTTAACGCCAGACAAAAAATTGATTCTGGCATTAAAAATAAATGAAAAATAATAAGGGTATGAGTTCACTTAAAGAATAAAACGCTTAAAATGTGAAAAGGGAGAAATCGTGCATAAGTTCTAAGCATACTTATTTTAAATTTGCTTTCACATATTTTCTGTTTTCTTTATTTTTGTGCGTTTCTCTTTAATACCGTTATTCTTTAATATTAATCCGCTCTAGAAGCCAGAAAACACGATTTTGACGGTCGAGATTGACAACAGCAACAAAACATAGGCTAAGGAAAAAAAACAAAAATTGTGATACATAAATGGAAAATTGAAGAAAAAATATTTTTCACTTATTCTCTACTATGTTTTTTTGCTATTATTCTATTTTTAAAAATGCAAAAGAAAATTGGATAGAGTGTAAGGATGCGAAGGATATTTACATGTTCAAAAAAGAAAAAATAAAACAAAAATCTCCTTTTTTTGGTAAACCTTTTATCTCAATAGAATAAATTATTTTGTTTCTATTTCCATATAAGCCCTAAAAATATTATCGAAAGAGCATTACCGTAATAATATTTTTTGCTAAGATTTTCAATCTTAAATTTTGTTATTTGAATGTTGAAGCAAATTAAAAACTGAATGTGCAGGAGGACTGTAGAAACGTAACCTATTTATCAATTTAGTATTTTGTTATTGCTCAAGATGAAAACTAGGATTCCGGTTATATTCGCTGATTAGTTATTCCTCGGAATAGGGAAACTTAAGTAATAATATACTATTTTCGATATTATGTAAAAAAATGTTTACGTTGTGTTCGAACATAAGTTCGAATAAGCTTCAACTTTACACACTAGAGATTTCAGTTTCTCAAAAAATATTATATATTATTAAAAAAAAATATTTTAGGTTCTTTGAGAAAGGGTGTTCCATAAAAAACATAGCAAATTTAAAACGGTCTGTTGTAAATATACTGAGATTGCATTTTTATTTTAAAACCACCTTATCTTAACTTTTACAAAATTTACGACTAAATCTTAATCTATTTTATGTGTTTAATGAAATTAAAAAAATATATTTCAAAATATTAAGAACTGATACTCATTTTTTTAGTAGCCATTTTAATTTACGATTCTTTTTTAAAAATTCTTCTATCTTGAAAAATTTTCTAATTGATTTTTCAATAATAAAAGAAGCCAAGTTATTGCATTACCAATTGAATCGATTTTAATTAAGTCATCATTAGGTCCATTTTTAATTCTGCATACCTTACGGACATTTTAACTAAAATGTAGCACAATTTTATGGTAACTCTAAAATAGAATTAAGAACAAAAAATATCCTTTCCTTTCAAAAAATCAAAAGAAATTTTGTAATTTTCTTCATTCTTCCACCTTTTAGAATTGGGCTCTATTTAAAGAAAATTTTTAATTTTTTCTAAATGCTTCAAGCCATTTTAAACATTATACAGAAAGAAAAAACTTTGCTTTTCATTTCCATTCCTGGCGTAACATTTTTTTCTCTACGCTCTTTCAAAAATTTCGTGTTTCTTTGATACCGCATTAATTTTTCGCTTTTTTTGCTTTGTTTTTCTTGCAGTTTATTATAAAGGCGGTTACTAAGGCATATAAGTATTTTAAAAAAACATATAGATGAAATAATAAGGGGGCGGATGCGTTTCATTTCATCGAAAACATAAACAGTTTAATTGTCTTAAAGGCAAAACGAGAATAAGAATAAGGACAGAAAAAATTGAAAAAAAAAAATTTTACTTCACAAACAACTAGGGTAAGGTAGGGAAAAGCAAAAGGAAATCGTGAACTATTAGAAAATAAACAAAATATGCTAGTGTCTTTTTTCGACATAAAATAATACACCAAGAAAGAAAAAAAAAAAAGGATTACGATGTTTTCCAATTAGCATAATGTTATTTTTTTTTATTTTTGCACCCTTCCTTCAATTTACGTCGTTTTTTAACAAAAGTAATGTGATCCTTTCGTTTTCTATATTTTTTTTTTCGTAATATTGATATTGATGGAATGTTTATTGAATGATGTTGATTAGAATTTTGTAAAATTTGAGAAAAAAAAATTTAAAAATTGTAATATGCAATTGTTTCCAAATAAAGTACAAAAAGATAAAGGGGGCCATTGTTCCCCATAAATTAAAATATTTGAAAAAAAAAAATCAAAATGGTGTTGCTTTTGTCGTTATTGCTATTTCTATAATGGAAAAGGATAATTTTATTTTATTTTTTTTTTTGTTTTTAAATATCTAAGGATATTTTAATTTTTGTTTTTAACTTTTAAGGGATTAGTAATGTTTTAGAAATCAGTTTGGGGATTAGAATTTTAATAGTAATTAAGAAATTGAAAATTTGTTTTTTTCACTTTTAGGGTTAACAAATTTTGTTTTTTGTAAAAATATTTTTTACTTTTTGGATATTTTCGGTAGTTGCCGTAGCAAGAAATCTCTTACTTAAAAGGAATTAAATTGAATAACGTTTTACTCTTTGCACTTTTCCTCAAATCTATTCATAGAGAACTTTATTTTGGTCATTCAAATTTATTAGAAATTTAGACTTTGTGAAAAATATTTCTCTTTATTTTATTAGTTAAATGAAAGAGCAAATTAAAGGCGTAACTACGCAATGGCGTAAATTAAAAGTATTAAAATTCACATTTACGTTTATGTTCCCAAATACAAAGCTTAAAATATATTTTCTTCAATTTCATACAATTTACAAACCAGTGAATATTCTTCATTATATCTTTCCCATGACTAAGTTATCAGTTACATGAATATTATACAAAACTTATATTGCACGAATACAATATTGCTTAAGATTATAAGTAAGTATATGGCAACAACCATTCTACAAGAAAAGACAAAGATTAATATTATCTTGCATTAAATATCATAGTTATAATTTTCCTCTTTGTTTTCCTAAAGGCAAAAAACTAAAAATTTCGAATACATTTTTCCAAAAATATGTATTTCATTAAAACAAAAAATTTCAAGCACGTATGAATTAACTTAAAACTAGTTTTACAAAATAAAATGCAGAGATGCAACAAATTTACATATTCTTTTTGTTAAAATTTTCAAAGTCCTAATTGAAGTGCGAATCTCATCTTACTATTTTCTTCTGTTGTTCTTTTATTTCTAATTGTCAATGCAATATTAACCAATCATAATAAAGTTCTGGATCTTCTAGAGAAAGGGCCCTAGGAAACTAAGACCGAGCTAGAAAAGAACTCAACAGGCCCCAGTGGAAGGGATTTCAAAGAAATTTGATTTTGGCAATTTTCATATCCTGGGATATTGTTTTCAAATCGAAGCCATCTTAATCCTACTCAAATGTCGTTAAATATTGTTTTGTTTGAAGAAATAAATTTTCAAATATTTTAACGTATTACAAAAAGCAGTCAAAAAAATTTTCTTTGACTTTTAAATCGATGGGATTTCAACGATTTTTACAAACTGCCTGTTTAGATTGTTTTAAGTGACTTGCCAAATTTTCTTACAGACCGGAAGAGCCGTTTTTTTTGAGGTACGCTTTCAATATTTTTATTTAACAAAATTCAAGAAATTAATCAAAAAATAGGGTGTTCTATTATGAAATATAAAACTAACCATAGTAAATTATATAAATTAACAAATATAAATATCAATTTTTAACTTACCATCCTGTTTAGCTGCTAAACATTTAGATGATAATCCAATTAATATAATTAAAAATATTGAAAAAATAAAATTTAAATTATGCCAACAACACCAGCCAAATTTCAAATTATTAATATTTATTAATTTATAATTATTTTTAATATTATTAATATTTATACATTCATTAATTTCATTAATATTTTCGTAATTATATTTATTAATATTACTATTTAATTTCAGTCGTGTTGGCAATATCGTTGTATTTTTGTTAGGATTTCCCTTTTTAATATTCTTATTATTTATAGTTATAATATAGTTTTTTAATTTATTATTAATAATATTTTTCTTTATATTAATATTATTTTTCATAGCTAAATTATTTATATTACTACTAATATTATTATATTTAGGAGAATTAAATAAACTAAAATTTACAGGAAATATAACATGTTCATTTTTATTATAATTACTATAGTTTCTTTTGTTGTAATCATCATTATTATTATTAATATTAATATCATCAGTTATCATATTAGTTATAGTTTGTATCGATTTAATCGTATTAATATTATTATTTTTATCTGCATTTAATGCACTTTTTATAATAGTTATCTGCATTGCAGAATTCAAATTTTTGTCATTCGTTGTCACATTATCATTATTATTATTATTGTAATTTTTAATTAAAGCAACAGCATTTACATCAGCTTTTTTAATTATCGAAGATACATTTATAATAATTGTTCTTGTTTTTACTATTTTATTGTTATTATATTTAAAAGGGGAGCAAAAATTGATATCATCATCATTGTTATTATAATTATTTATATAACTGCTATTATTATTATTACTATTATTAAAATTAGAATTATTTAAATGATTTTTACTAAAATTTAATAATTTACAGTCACTGACATCAAATTTCTTTTCATATAGAATATCATCACTTTTAAAAATAAATTTAAGTAAAATAGTGACAATTCCATTATTATTTATATAAATGTCAAAATTTATAATATTTACTACATCTGTTGTCATTTGAATGTCATTAATATGGAAATTATTTTGATATTTTATTGTTTTTATGATTATTTCTGTCATTGAATTTTTTAATATCTTTTTTGATAACATTGATGATACCGGTGATGATGATAATGATGATAGTCCTAATGATGATATCGATACTATTAATGTTTCTGTTGTTTGTGTTACTGTTGTTGTTGGTATTAATAATGATGATATTGATATTGATGATAACAATATTTCATATTGAAAGGATTCTAATGATGACAGATATGATGACAACAACACCTCCTGTTGATTTTCAAAAGTAATATTATTTTTATTTTCATTTCCTTCATATTTATTTTCTAATGATATAGCTGATGATGGTGGTGTTGTTGATGATGATTTTGATAAAGATTTTATTGATAATTTTTGCTCTTTATATAGGTGGTATTGATTTTGTTCTTGATTATTTTGTTGCTGCTGTTGTTTCTCCATTTCTTCAATGACTTTAAGATATGGCAGCAACCGATGCCAAATAGATGGAACGCTACTTTGATATTCTATGGCGCACTGTTGAGTCTGAAATACAAAAAAAAAGATATAAAGTCAAAAATAAATAAATTTTCAAGGATAAAATTATTTTTGCATATTTTCCAAAAAATACAAAAATGAAAAAAAAAATTTATTTTGTTGTTTTCTTTTGCGTATGTAATAATATAATAATATCCTAACGAGTGCACGCAATAGGTATTAAGACTAAAGTATAAATTTTACGGAGACAAAACAAAGGAGGGTTATAAATTTTCTTTTAAATAGGCTTTTATTTTATGTGTTGTAAAAATTTTGTTTTGTTCGCTTTTCTTTTCTTTGTTTCTGGTTTCATTTTCTCATTATAGTCATCAATTTTATATATTTCAAAATCGCGGGAAAAAATTTTATAGACGCGGCAATGAATTTCATAAAAATTACTAAATAAAAACGTAGCACATATGGTTAAAAAATTTTCAAAAATAAAAAAAATATTATGGAATAAAACAAGAGAAATTCAAATTTTATAGTGTAGCAGAACCATAAAAATCTTCGGGGTGTATTTATAAATGCATAAATAAGTTATTAAAATATATATTCTGTAAATAAAGAAAATACAAAAGGAAAATATAAAGCGGCAACAATATAATATTAAAAAGACAAAATTGTAAGCAAAATTTTTAAATCTCGTTTCCAATAATATCGAATTACGGCAGGCTTGCTAAATGAAATGAACTTTAGTTGCAAACGAATATAAATTTTGAATATTTAGTACGATTAGAATATTGTAAATTGTGTTCAGTTTTTAGCACTTTTCCAAAAAAAATTTTGAAAAAAAAGTGCTTATCACTCTGTTCGTCCGTACGTCAGTCCGTGACCATGCTTACAAAACTTCTACATCCTTGAAGATGGAAAGCTGACATTTTGTGTGTACATAGATCTTTACTACAAACTTATTTCTGTAGAACAAAATCTCCGCCACTCTAGAAGTTACACCCCCCCCCAAAACCCAAAAAATGTCCTTTTTTAACTGCTTCTTCCAGTAAAACCATAAGCATTTTTGAAATTTTTCAAACGTAGAAAGGCAGTGGCTTGCTTTTCCTATCGCGGCATATTATAGATAAATTTTAGAAAAACAAAATGGCCGTTAAAATTTTCCGTTATCTAAAATCATTTCTTTCCAAATTTTTGAGGTTGTTTTTCTTCTAGACCCCAGGTTGTAGGAGCCTGAAATTTCAGCAGCTTTTAGACACTAATAAATACTTTATTTCGTTAGAGGAAAATTTTTTTTCCATCTCCACCCCCTCTCAAGTTATCGCCTCTTGAAATTTGTAAAATTTGAATTTTTGACGTTTTATATTTCAAAAACCGCAAGTTTTTTCAAATTTCTATAAACGTAAAAAGCTAACGGTAAATTCCATAACATTAAAAAAATATAATTATTTTTGTTAACTCACGCAATTAGCCCTTAAAATCGAGCATTATGTTTAGCCCTCTTTAAATTAATTTTTGCTTGCATAAATAAAGCAGAAAGACTGCATAAATCGTTTACCCTAAATATATGCAATCTTAGAAATAGTTTCGTATACAAATAAAAATAATTTTAATAGTGTGCTACATAGACTGTATTTAAAAGCAGTATTTTCACTAGTTGAACAGAAAAGTATTACAATACAAACCATTGGGTTTAACCCAACTTCAATGATTTAACTTCACTAAGTACTCACAAAAGATTCCTTACATTATTGATAAGTTAGAAATTTTTATGAATGAAATTCCTTTGCAACATTTCTTTACGAACAGTAATATTGTGCTTTTTCGACTTTATTATGTCGCCGTAAGTATATATGTATATTCTGGCTGTTTCAATAATAAACCAAAAGAATTTTCGGAAATATATTTAGTTCGTAAATTTTTCAGAAAAAGAGGACTACAAAAAATTAACGTCTACAATGTGGAGAATCTCTCATAATTGTAGTAAATATGCAAGTTGTGTACTGCGATACTGAAATGTAAACTGAAAAAAATTGCCACTATTAAATAATTTTAGCAGATTCTTTAAGTCAATAAAGTGGCAAGCTCCATAAGTAAGTACTTAGATACGAGTCGTTTATGGTTGACATGTCTACATTTAGGTGTTTATTGTGTATAAATTAAAAAGCTTAAAAACTTGACATTCACTTGTGGTTTTCTGGAATAAATATTTAGTGCTATGTAGAGTATCAAACTTTGCAGATGAAAATTACAACCGGAAATACTTGTAAATTTTAGTTAAAACCCAAATGAAATATTTGAATTTATTCACAATAAATTGCATACTTGAACCAAACATACAGAGCTCTTGTATTTTCAAATTTATTCTGAAATTGAATTATACTTTTCAACAAAAAGTATTAAACTTCCGAAATAATTCCAGTTGGAAACTCTATATTTATGAAATAGGCTAGGCTAAAGTTTCAATCCAGCATCTCATATTTTTATTTTTTTATTTTTTACTATAAATATTTTTTATTATAATATGTGTTTGTTTTTATGTACCTCCATTTCTTCCACTGAAAACTTATCATTTCGTATATCACGTTTCGAATGATGACGCTTTTCAGTCATAAAAATTTATTATGAAAATGAATTATCGATTTAAAGAAAAAAAATTTTGTTTTTGTGTTGTTTAAAAATAAAATTCGTTCAAAAATAAATATTCATAAATTTTTATTATAAAATGGGGAAATTATTAACAGAAATGGAAAGAGAAACAAGTCTAAAATAAAAAATTCATTGTCATTTAATATGAGAACGAGTGTTTCGATATCAGACGCAAAATTAAAAGTGCACGACAATAATTTTTAAAAGCTTAAAAGTCTGATTTGTAATGAAATACAAAAAATTTTATTTTTTTTTTATTTTGGGGCTGGTGCTCTGATTATGCCACCATTAAAATCAGCCACTTGTTCTATTGTTAAAATTTTATAGCTTTCCATTTTAACTACATACATATATTCAATAGTTAATGTTTGTAAGTACGTACATACATAAATATATTACGTACATGATTGTAGTATATATGTATGTATTTGTAAAAATTTACTTATACATTTATAAAAAATGTACGTTTAATTATACAATGGGTAAAGCCAAAGCCTTTCAATAATAATAAAAGTATGTATGTACAATGATTTGAATTCAGTTATTATTTAAGTATGTGTACATGTTCGTTTGTATAATGATTAATATTCTGTCAATATGTACATACATATATATTGTAACAAAAAAACGGGAAGGGGCCTCAAGCTGTGTGGCATTATTGAATTTAATAATGAATTGTTGTAAATTTAAACGTTATATTTAATAGTACATAATATATAATATGTATACATGTTCTTATATACATGTTTATGTACATATATATAATAAACATAGGTATGGAGGATTGATTTTAGAATAAATATTTGATTTTATTACTTTTGAATATTTAATTTATAGCTGAGTGAAAAACAAAAGTGGAATTTTATTATTTTTCCAAATTTTAATTCGTAAAGTAATAAAAAAGTTGAATTGAGAGTTTTTTTGTGCATAGTTAAAAATTAAAGTCAAGTGTATAAAAATTAATTAAGTATTTATTATGTCTTTCTTTTTTTTATGAATTTTTAATGAAATTTTATTATAATTTTTAGTTAAAAAAATTAAAAGAAATTGAGAGTTAATTATAACATTCTTTGATATTTGGGCTTTAAAGATTGAAATAAATAAATTTTTAATGTCATGGTCAAAATATTAGACTTGTTGATTAATTTTATTAAAAGTAAGAAGGTTTATAGAAATACATATATTCAAATATTTAATTCAAACATTTATTCTTTTACTTTTTGTTTTAAAATATTCTAATGAAAACGTATTTCAGTTGTTCTGCGATTTAGAAACCCTACACAATGCATTTATTTCTAAATTTCCTTAAAAAAAGAAATGTATTCAGTAAAGTTCATTATTCAAATATAATCTATTATACTCATCAAATCATTTGTTTTTCCTTTCAATTTATACACTTTAAGAGGATGTTGAAGCATATCTTTGCGCAGAAACTGTTGTAGTACTTACTAAAGATACCCCATTCGAAATATCGGTTACCTATTCGTTCCGTTTTCTTTCTATGAAAAAGAATTAAAAATTTTAAAAAACATAGTTCATCAACGGTTAAGAAGGACGTATCGAAAAATTAGTTTCGACAAATTTTCCAAAAAAGCAGTATTGACACTAACCATATTACGTGTTTTAATTTTAGTTCTATTGAATTTAAAATATCACTTTATCATTTCTTGAAAATAGTGAAGTTAAACATGTTTAATGTCTTTAACTTGAAATTTTAAAAAACCAAAGAAAGGTATGAAAATTTTGAGTGTAACTATGGATTAAACCATAACTTAGAACTTAAAAGTATGAATTAAAATTTATTAAAAAATAAAGGACTCTTATCTCCTTAAGTTTCTTTTAATTTTTTTATTATTAAGAAACTTGATATTTTTATCCTTTCGCTATAAAATTATTTGTTCCTTCAGTAAAAGTTTAAGAAGAAAAAAGGGTTATCGGCAAAATTACGTTCTCTTTATAAATGATATAAATTACATTTAGTTTCTTATCTACTTATAACTAATGTACAGTTGAAAGGACTTTGTTGCTTCTAACTTTCATTCATAATTATTTGGTTTTCCAACTTGTTTCTTATACAGTACATTACCCGAGTATCTATTGGAATTAATTTCCGCATTTGTTATGCTCTTATTATATACCTTTACTTTTACTTATGTATTTAAAAAAAATGCTCTTATTCATAATTCTATAAATATTTTCACCTCTTTTCTTCTTATTTAATATATTTACATGATAATTGTATATATATAATCATCTAACTCATTGTTATATTATTACTTTCCATTAACTTTATAAAATCCTTACAGAAAAAAAAATTTTTTTTTTCTCTCTTTATTATCATCCTTTTGTTTCCATTCTTGCGTTTTATCTGTTTCTGTTTTCAATTTTTATTATTGTTATACTAATAT